AGGTTTGGCCCAACCTGACCTGCTCCTGATAAAGTGATCTTATGCCTCTGGAATTGGCTTTTTGAATGTATGTGCCTACCCCACGTCTGGTGTTATATTACGACAGCATGAAAATGGAGCCTAGGACGGAGGAGCCGGCCAGCCTCAGAAGCCTTCTTCATTGCCTGCCATGTAATACATGATATGCAAAGCCTCTGACTTCAGCCAGCAGATATTTGGAGACCGTGTTGGCCCTAAACTAATGGGGACTAAACTAATGTGTGTTTAGGTCAGAAAGCGAATCAGAAAAGCCACTGGAGGGCACGTCACGGAGTGAGGGCCCTATAAAAGCATCCTCACTCCCCGCGTCCCCTGGCAAGCACTCGGCTTCCCTGTCTGGGCTGCTCTGCATCTCTCCTGCCTAGTGCTAGAACTCCGGCCAGCAGCTCCTCTCCTCGAAGCTGCCTTCTGCCCTGCAGAAAAAAGCGAGAGGGCTAGACACCCAGGGAGGAAGGAAAGCCTCCGGCAGGCGCGAGGAAAGCCCCGTGTAGCCCTCCCACCCACCGCGCGCCCTCTTCCCCAGCGCGGGGCGCCGGGGCGAAGTCTAGCGTGGGCGCCGCAGCCAAGTTCGGATTCCCCCCTCTGGTCGGGTCTGCGCCGAGCTCCGCACATTCCTCCGGATCTACCCAGCCAGGAGGCGCGAGCCGGGGCTCCGCGCGCTGAACGCTCTCCCTGCACCCCGGGGAGGGGCGCCCCGCGTCACCCGCTCTTGCCCCGAGCCCCAGCCTCCGGAGCTGCGGCCCCTCCTCGCGGCTCGCCTTTCCTCCCCCACTGCCGCCGACCGACCCCTCCCCTCCCGGGGCCCCGCGCCTCCCCTCCCCCGCCGGCCCCCAGCCGGGGCTCTCCAGGACCAGCCTGCGCTCCTGGCTCCCTCATGTCTTCTCGAGAGTCAAGGCGCCCATTGACGTGGTGTCTCGCTCGGATTTCCAGGCAAGACCTCAGCTCCGGCAACAGCATCAGCCCGGCCCGTCTCGCGCCTGCAAGCGCCGCGCCCGGGGAAGGCGCACAGCGCAGCCGCCGCGGCTGAGCAGCCCGCGGCGCCCCGGACCCGGCAGCCCCAGCCCAGGGCGCAGCGCGCGCCGCCGTGTCACCCCCCGCCCCAGGCAGCGGCCGCGGCTCGGACCTCGAGTTCTGGGGGAGCGGGGAGCGGGCAGGGGAGCTGTCGACATCCCGCGCCCTGCTCGCGGCGGCGGCGGCTGGAGCTTTGGCCGCCGCCTCCAGCGCGACTTTGCCGCCGGGAGTGACCCCGGGATTTCGAACTCCTGCCCCTGACCTGCTGGGCGGGGCTCCGCGCTCCTGCCCCCGGCCCGGATGGGTCTCCTGGCTGGGACTAGAGGCTCCTGGAGTTAATGTCCAGCTGGGGGTCTGCGGAGACCGGATCCGAGGTAAGAGGGGGACGCACGGGGGTGGCCAGGAGGTGGACGCGGGGGGCTGCGGGACGCGGGAGCTGGGGGCGGGCCTGGACCCTATCGCTGGCGGTGAGGTGGGGCAGAGGAAAGACGAGATCGAGGGAAACCAAGGCGCCGGATGCCAGAGGAGAAAGAGAAGTTGAGCACTGGAGAGGCCGGTGTTCTTGCGGAGGGGCAAAGATCTCCAGCGCCCTCGTGGGCAAAGCTCTCTCGAGCTGCTGATACCTGGGGACCCCGAATTATCGGAAGGGCAGTTTCCCTCCCCGACTCTGCGGGGCGCTCTTCTGTCAAGTCCCGGGACCGTCTGGGGTCTTCCGTGAACCCTTTGCGAGCAGGAAAGCTCCCTCCGAACTTGCAGCTGCGGAGACCTCGTTGCCGGGGTGTAACTTACTTGGGGCTTGGCTGGGTTTGTGCAGAGGCAGAGCCGGGCCCAGGGAGGGGCTGCTGCAAAGGCGGCGCGACCTGACCCGGAGGCTGCTCTCCTTCGGGCGCAGTCTCGACAGCTGCATCCGTCGCCCTTTTCGGGACCCGGTTGCATGCACTTTCCACATGTCCGACACCCCGACTGAGCCTTCTGGTCGCGGTTAGGAGAGGGGCTCCCTGCACTGTCTGGGACTCGGCTCTCCGCCTCCGACAGGCTCTTGAGACTCCTGAAGGTCTCCGCTCCTGTTGTCTGTGCCAGTAGCTCCCCCACCACTGCCTTGCACCACCTCGGGGCTGATTTTGCCGCGGTTTGGTTTCCAACCCCACCCGGCGAGAACTAACCCACGAGGGGCAGAAAAAGTGGGGACTTTCGCGGGATTCCCCAGCCCCCAGGCGCCTCCCTACTTTCGGATGTGGCGGGACGTTCCTGCAGAGCCGATTCGCGCGTCCCCGGGGCTACCCAACTCCATGCTCCCCACATTTTTGCTCCCTGGCGGGGACGAACAATTCTTCCAGCCCCTGCCGCGGATGTTCGCGTGCACAGGACTCTTAAGTATTCCGAGGAAGAGATGCTGCTTCCAAAGTCACGCACGCACCGCTCCCCAAAAGCCCTCAGAGTGGTAGCGGCTGAGCTGCCGCCCCGCCTGTGCCAGCTCGCACCCTCCCTGCTTCGCCACACCTTCGCCTCGCGGAGTAGGGGGATAGCGTCGCCTTTTCAACAAGTGGCAGGTGTCCGGGGAGCCCGCAGAATCCTCAGGCCATTCCCGAAAAGGCTTCGGGTGCCCCGGATCTGGAACTCAACCCCGGGCCCCTTACTACACGGAACCCTTCCCCAGACTGTCTGCAGAAAGCGCCTCATTTTCTTTTTCCTTCCCCAAATCCAAGGCCCAACAGCTACGGGAGAGTAAGTCCTCTGCCGGGCTAAGAAACGAGGCGCGGTTAAGAGAAGCAAAGCATCTTTCCTCAACTTCTGTCCCTACCCTACAAGAATCCCGGGGGGTTATAACACACCCCACGGCCATTCTTTGCGCTCCCCGAAATCTGCGTTTGAAGGCAAAGCCCAAACAAATCTCCCAGCCTGCCTGTCACCAGAGGCGCGGGGGCGCCCGGCGGGAGCGCTCACGGCGGGGAAGCTGCGGCTGGAAGGTGGGGAGCGGGGGAGAGGTTTCTAAAAGCAGGTTGCTGAGAAACCAGCGCAGGTGAGAAGGGAAGAGAAAAACTGAGAAAGGATGGGGAGGTAGGAACCTGAGAAGCCGAGCTGCTGGTGAGGCTCTCCAGAAGTTTTGGGGCTAACTTGGAGAGGCGGGGGCGGGGAGGGGGAATTGTAGGGAGAGTGCTTGCTCCCCGGTTTTTGTTTTTATTCCAAGACTACTAAGCCTCCCCGCCGCGTGGGCGCTACCAGAACTCGGGCGGTTTCTGGTGCCCCCTGGTGCCGGGAACCCAAAATCGCCGGGTGCTTTGCGGATCCCTTCCCGTGCCGCTTCCCTCCCCCGGGCGCCCTTGCTGCTCCCTGGCCTGGGGGGCCACCAGGTGCCCGCGCCCGGGACGTGTCCCTTTCGCCCCGCGGGGCGCATGGCTCCCGGGCTCAGGGGAGGGGGCGGGGCCACCCTGCAGGTACCGGAGCGGGTGCGGGGACACCTGGTGGAGCCGACTTTGGGGCGATTGCTTCCCGCACGTGGCAGTGCGTTTAGCAGTTTGCACGTGTAGCTCCGGGGCAGAGGGTGACAGCAGCGGCGCCTCGCCAAAGTGCTTGCAGAAAGCGGTTTGGAGACTAGCGGGAAAGCCGCGCGGCGCGTTGGGAGGCAGGACGCTGCACAGGCCCTAAGAAAAATGTCCTAGTAAACCGCTGTGTGTGCGGGATCTCAGGCGCCCTCCTAGTCCTCGGATCAGCAGACACCGGGCATTTAACCGCGGCTGGGACTGGGGCGCGGGTGGGGCGCTTGGAGGGGCGAATGCGCCCTTCGCGTGCCCCGGGGCCGGGAGAGCGCTCGAGAGGCCTGTGCGCCCGCACCCAGCCGAGGGCGGGAACGGGAGCCTGGAGCTTCCTCTGGCGAGACAGGGAGTTTTCCACTGTGTCCTTTTCTGCCAGCCTCGCCACACTTGTAATTGAGGATCTCCACGTCCAATTTAAAAAGCCCTCCGTCGGCCAAGCAGGAAAAAAAGGAAAAACCCTCTTAATGCTGAAGGGAAATCTGGTGCCTCTGTCGCTTCCTGCCGGCGGACACCGCGATTTGGAAAGGCGCTTGAACCCGCGCCTCCCTGCTCCGGGGGCTGCCAGCCATTTCGCACGCACCCGGGAGCTGCCTCCCAGGCGAGGGGGTGGGAGGGCTCGCCGCGCCCCGGTCCTCTCGGCGAAGGCACCTCGTTGCGTTCATTTTGCTTGATCTGAGTGCAGCACCGCTCGGGCCGGTGCGCCCGAACCCAGAGCCTTTGCTTTTCTCGGGGTTTGTAAACCAGCCAGGAGGCGCGAGGGGTCTGGAGTCTCTGGTCGCGAGGAGTTCCTAGTCCCTGCAAACTCCCTGAGCCCAGGCGCTGCAGTTTGTAGTGTGTCGAGCCAACTCAACGCCTAAGGGATGGAAAATGCATCCGTCTCCGCTGCGGTGGGAGGTGGTTCCCCGGGGTAACGAGCAAGGGAACCCCGGCCTGAGATCTGAATGGCGACCGGGCGCGGAAAGGGGCTGCTGGATGCAGGCAAGCTGGTACCTGGAAACTCCCTTAATTAAGCTCGCCCTTGGAAAAAGTTTAGCTTTACCTAAGAATCCGTTTTATTTGGACGAGAAGGGAAAATCAGCTGCACAAATCTCCTAGTTCCCTTGAGAATGCGCTTGGAAGGCGGATCACTGACTTGGGGAAGGGACTAAGAAGCACCACGCCCGGACCTTCACCCACATACCCGCGTCTTCTGCTCCACCTACACCCTGGGTGCGCTAGTCGCCTTTCCCTAGCCCGCCCTGGGCTGCGTGATCCCCTTTTCTAAGGTGATTGAGAAGCCCGATGGAGCCCCCTGGCAGAGGTGCTGGGCCCCCACCCCGCGCCCTCTTGCGGCCCAGGCCCTCCAGCTCCCTCGCCTCCCCAGCGCCGGCTGGAAACGTGCAGCCACGTCTGTGACGGTGGCGCAGGGAACTCGAGACTCCTCTGGAGGGGGGGTATTTAGGGACAGAACCCTCAGAGTTGCGAAAATAAAATCCAGGGAGGGCTCGGTTATACCACGAAGGATTAAAATTTTCAAAGACTCATGTAATCCTTACCTAACAGCAGTGGTAAAGCATCTGTTGGGCACTTGATGCCTTCTAGGCCTTTCCCTGCGTTATTTAATGTTCGTGACCTTAAGAGCTGGAACTGTTATTTTAAACGAGTTGGTGCTTCGAGAAGTTAAATGACTTAATGCAGTATTCCCATCCAGGCCAAAAGTCTCCAAGTCCTTACTTCTTGTTCGGGCGACAAAATAACTTATTAGGTAGGAATAATAAAGCGCGGGCCGGGAGGGGGGACCGGGAGGGGGGTGGGGGGCGGGATGGGGAGTGGTGGCTGGGAGCGCGCCTGGATCTAGCTGGGAATGGAGCGGGACCTCTGGCAGAGAGGATGCACTTGATTTTATTCCTGAAATGACTGGCCAGTTGTGCCTCCTTAGGTCGAGGGTGGTTCCCGCCGCCTGGGCGAGCTTCGGGGCGGGGGAGGGCTAGGTGTCTGGCTAGGGTGGAGGATGCAGGGTGGGGGCAGATCGATCACCCCTCATCCCAAGAAAAGGGGGTGGAAGGGTGGAGGGCGGGGAAAGGAGGTTGCGCATCTGTGGACCGGCTGGCCTGGAAACCTGGTGTCGCTCGTTGGGATCGGTTGGGGCAGCAGCCCTGCTTGAAAATGTTCGGGTGATGGCAGAGGGCAGTTGCGCACACACTTGTGGCGCACCGGGGATGGAGATCGAGCGGAAGACTTTGGGAGAAGGGCGGGTGATGCCCGGGAAACCATCGCCGCGAGGCCCGGGAGGAGAGCGCTGGCGAGTTTGGAGAGGGACTTGGGACCCCAAGTGGGCGCCGCGCCAGCCGCGGTCCTAGGTGTCCAGGCTTAACGCGCACCCTGCGCTTCTCTCCCCGCGGGTCTGCTCAGGTGCCGCCGCCGGACGGGACTCTAAGATGAAGTTATGGGATGTCGTGGCTGTCTGCCTGGTGCTGCTCCACACCGCGTCCGCCTTCCCGCTGCCCGCCGGTAAGAAGCCTCCCGAGGCGCCCGCCGAAGACCGCTCCCTCGGCCGCCGCCGCGCGCCCTTCGCGCCGAGCAGTGACTGTAAGAACCGTTCCCTCCCTGCTGGGGGGTCGCCGGCGGACCCCCACGCGCGCCCGCCCGCCGCCCGCACGCACCCAGGCCAGCCCCCTCGGCTGGGAGGCCTCCCGCACCCACTGGCAGGGTCCCGAGGCGCGCAAGTCCCCTCTCTGCGCGGGCTGCCGCCCCAGGCCCCGCACGCCTTGTCTGTAAATAACACGTACTGGTTTGCCCGAGGGTATCAGATTTTTATGTTGTCGGTTTAGCATTGCCATGAAGAGATATTCTTCCCACCACCTTAGGAAAACACACAGTTGTCCCCTTCTGTGCACTTATTCACTGTCTATGCACATGCACACCCGGGTTTGTTTGTTTGGTTGTTGTTTTTTTTTGGGGGGGGGGTTGTTTGTTTTCCTTTTTCCCAGTGGCTGTGTGGGTGTGCTCTGCTGTGCTGAATTCTGGAATCTGTTATATTTCCATCCTTAACTACCTGTGCAAAGGGAGAGGCCTAGTTTTCAACCAGCCAAAGTCAGGAAATACTAGGGCCTTGAATTCCAGAACTAGCATCTAGGCAGGGTCCAAAAAAGTATTCAGAAAAGTTCTGGTTGTAGACAGACTTAAAGGTAGTGTTAGGTGGATTGGGGGGTGCGGGGGAGGCAGTCATGGGGGGATGAGGAAGCTGTCACCCTTCACATGACAATGCTAATTCTTCAGAGAAGTATGTGTTGGTCATATTATAAAACAAATCTGTGATTTCACTCTCAAAAACTAACATGTTAGATAGCAAGTATGTTAGAGCATGCTTATGGTGATACAGTTTACCTGACACTCTTGAGAAGTTTCTATGTTTCATAAAATGAGGTCTGCTGCATTACAAGTTAGAGGTTATCAGGAAGGTATGTAGGTAGTGAAAACAGCAGTAGAAAATTTGACCCAATCCCAAAATTAAGCCACAGTGAGCTACAACTAGGAGGTCTTCCAGGCTGCCCCCTACTCCCACTTCTTACTCTCTGGATACTTTGCACTGGAAACATACTGGGGGTGGGGGGTACCACCCCTTAGCTGGTGTTTACCTATGGCCTTGGGCACTGTGATGTGCTTACTTTATGCTTTATGCTTAATTGCAACACCTCTTCCTGAAGTCCCAAGACAGAGGAAAAGTGCATCTTTATGAGGCAAATTAAAACTTAAAAGTGACTTAGGCTTAGAAAGAGAACATGGTTGATCCCTTGAAATTGTGGTAACTGTTTCCAGAGTTTCTGTCAATTGTATAAACCTATTTTTAAAGGCTTTGATTTTAACTATGAATTTCCATCGTCGTGTATGTAAATGTTTCTCTAATAGAAACTTAAATTTAAAATTTTAACATAGTGCCATTGTCTTCATCATAATATTCATGAAAACGAAGTCGTTTTTCATTCGTTTCAACAGCCTAGGCCAGAGGGACAGAAATACAGTGGTGATAATAGTTCTCTGGCCAAGACTTTCAGGAGAGAAAAATGACTGTGCCTGGCTACAACAGAGCTGATTTGATTAATTCATGAAGACTTAATTGGCCTCTGAGTGTGCTGTCTACCCCGGCTTATTTAATCTGGTTCTGGCCCTGCTTTCAACTCGCTCTGTGATTTTGGACAAATTACTTTATAACTCAATGAACAGTTTGCCACTATACATTAAAGAAAGGTTTTTCTGGCCCAAATGTCAGTCGCTGTCCTCTGGGTAGAGACTTATAAGGAGATATCCCTATTCGCTGGAATCACTGGGGAACTTTAAAGAATACTAATGCTGGGCCTCACCCAAGAGATTCTGATTTAATTGATTCAGATATGGCCTGAGCATCTGGGTTTTTCGATATTCCCCCACAGGAATCTAATGTCCAGTGAGGGTTGAATCACTATGACTCAGTAATACCCTAAGAAAAGATGTGCCTCAAAAAGCTACAACCAGTCACCAAGCAGCAAGGTTACAATAGTCCTTCTGATTGTGAGGGGAAAGCATGCTGAGGGATTACTTTTTTATTTCTAGAACTGATACTGCATCATCAGTGGGCAAGATTCTGACTACTGTATTCATATTCAAACCAGCAGAACACAGTCAAATCTGTTCTATCTATGGGAAGATACAATAGACCCTAGAGTAAACTTGTGAGAAGTGTTCTCACAGAGAAACTGAACTGCATTCCAAGCCAGATTGACTTCTTTCCAGGTATGTTCAATTCAGTAGCAAGCTGTCAGTGCAGGGAAAGCAAAAGAATGACAGTGTGCAGACTTTGAACACTCAACCAGTGTCAACATGCCCCTGTCACAGCCTGACATTTATATCCTGCTCTGTACACCTTGCAACTGGTTAAAGCTTATGTAGAAAAACATTAAGTCACTCATTTCATCTGAAAATAGAAGGTACCATAAATTCTGGTCCTGCTTCCCTTTGAATGCTTCTAACATAGTGAGGGAGCAAAACCTCTTTCGTGTCACCTTAACAGCCATTCTGCGCTGTTCCATATCCTCATACTCACCTTTAAGGGTATGTGTGTTCTGCTGGCTTTAATGTAAACGAAACTGTCAGAATTGAATTCCTTATATTATCACAAGGTGAACTGCCCACAGAGAACTCATAACTGGCTTGCTTGCCTAGCGGGAGTCTATAAGTAAGTTGTGCCACCTGCTGCAACTTCAAACTTGTCTAAACTCAAGGCCTTGTGATTTGGGGGAGTCTTCCTGACTTTTCCCTTGAGCTATCTTTGTTCTTTGATTTTGTTTTTTGCCAGTATTTTCTCCAAAGTGTGATAAGCAGGTATGAAGAACCTAGAAGATAAACTAGCAGATGTCATAACATTTTAGAGCTGAAAGGATACCCCACATGATTTGGTTTGGAAAGCAACTGTCCAAAATGCCAGAGTTCCATGAAAGCAGGAGGCAGGGCCACAGAAGCCTGGACCAGAGTTTCCCCAAACCACTGTGAATTAGAGCAGTCCACTTTGCTCCTTAAGGGAAAAGAGGAAGATCTTCAACTAATGACTAAAACCATGTTGTACAAGATTATCTGAATTAATTAATGGTTAATCATATTCATACCTGTGTGAACATTCTAAATGTATTTTGCAAGTAAAAGCATAAAGTTTACAGGGTTTTTCAAATTTACATCAAAAAACACATACTCAGTGAGATATTTGCTGTGTGCCTGTATGTGCTAGACACTGTCCGGGGAGCTATAGTCCAGGGTACATGTGATAGACAGAAGCCCTAGGAACATACTATGCAGTAAGTGTACTGTGTGATGCAACTCAGTAACATTACAAGCTAAAAGTAAACATGAAGAAACCTGGGAAGGTGGCATTTTGTGTGACCAGAAGTCAATCACAAGAGTCTTTGAGCATGTTAAATTGTGATAACAAATAGTCCACATTGTCTTATAAGGATATGATAATCCTCCAGTTTGGTAGCATGTCACAAATTTTCCTGTAGAAACAAACTTATCAGTCTAGCTGTTAAGTTCCCAAACTAGTCCACCAAAAGCTATGTAAACCATGATATCACAGGACTATAATTCGCAACACTATTAAGCTAGAGTCTTTCCCGCCCAGGGTGCCAAGTCCCATAATCTGGGGGAATGTTGGGGGGAGGGGTGTGTCACAGAGCACGAAATAAAGAGTTTTCAACAAGCAAGAGTTTGAGTTCACACATTCAGATCAAAACAAAGTGTGGTTTGGATCTCAGCCTTAGTGCTTGACCATCTATTTACTTATCTCTTAAACCTCAGTTTCCTCACCTGTGAAATAGAAATACTAGACCTGCCTCTTGGGGCTTCTGTGAGGGTTAAATGAGATGATTTGTAAAACCAGTGACCCACTTACTTCTGTTATTCCCCACTCTCCTCTTCCAAAGGCCCTTCGCCACGAACCCAGTCACCATCTTCTCTCTCACCACAGCCTTTCACTTTGGCCTCTGCCAAGATACTGCTTTAAATGGTGGGATTTCAAACAGCACAGTGTAGTACAGAGAGCGAAATGAATGCCTTGCGGGGAGGCTATTTTGGGCCCTATAGTTGGTCAGCTGGTCAGCACATAGGCAGGCCTGCCTTGCCTGGGATCATTACCCGCTGGGTCTTCCCAGGTTTCAAGACTCCTTTTACCCATTCTTTGAACCCATATAGGTCCTGTGCAATTTTTCCACCAGGTCCCCATGGTCATGTTAGGGACAGCCTTTTTCCCCCAGAGGGAGAAAGGAGTCAGGGCAGGCTAAACTCTTTATTAAGTCGTGAGGGGGTAGAGTCTACCTGTATGGATACAGTGTTTCTGTTTTAAATAATCCCAGCTGGATATTTAATTTTAAATGTTTCATAAGCCCAGCAAACATCTTTAGGGAACTTTAAATTTAAGAGATGTTCAGCCCATTGTTATACTGCTAAGCTGCTAAGGAAGCTTCTCGTGCTACAAGCTAGTGAAATATTAAGCTTTCAGATTTAATGTTATGGAACATAAAATTCAGAATAAATAAGAACCTTCCATCTGTTGTTTTTTATTGCTTTCAGGGACCGTATGAAGGAGGAATACTATAATAAAGTAACTACCTAAACTGTCAAGGAGTACTACCACCTGGGACTGGGATTTTGGAATAAAGAAATTCCATATCGGACTCTTTTAGGAGGCATTGATTCCTCACTTGAGATCTGAGACCAACATCTTAGTCAGATCTCAGTCTGGAGACCTATTTCAAACTGCTGCTATTTAGATAAATCTATTTCAGGCCTAATTTGAATTAGCCATTCTTAGGATCTTAGACTGATCCAACAGCCCAAGAATTATGCTCAAAATATTCTACTTTTACTGCTATAAAAACAAAGATGGTCTGGTATTTCCTCTTCCTAATGTCCTTTTGTTTATTTAGCACTTAATGGTCCATAGCACCTTCATTCAGTTAAAACACTTATTCCTTAATTAATCACTTGAGCTCAATCAAGAAGTGAATATTAAGTATCTTTCATATGGTAGGTGCTGTGTGGCATCAAAAAGGCAAAATTGTGAA